CCCCCCCGCCGGCTGTTCTGGGATGGCATCATTGCTGCTCCCAGAGGTCACTGCAGGGTAATCCTTAGACAATCAGCAGAATGGTGTGCTCCTACTTGGTTTGTAGTAGTTAGCATTCCTTCCTGGGCCCGTGCTCCCTGAGCCAATTGCCATCTAGTATCAGCAAAAGTGAGGTCCAATTGGCAAGGGAAAAAAATAGAGCAGAAGTAGCAGTGGGGTGGCTAAGCATCTTTGCCACAAGCCACAAGGATGTTCAGCCTGGGGATAATAAAACTTGGCTGAACTTGGTTCAAAGACTAATTCTTTTTGACTACAACCTATGGCACATTTGGGAAATCAGTGTGAGATGCTTCCAAGCCAATATATTCTCTTCTTAAATGGGTTTATGATTATTTCAAAAGTGGCAGGGGGAGAGGGAATCTAATTCATTTCTACATGCTAGGACAAGATTTGGGATGCTACTTTGAGCTCCTGCTCCTCTTAACAACAGATTGGTAGGTGGATGTTGTAGTAAATCTTCTCAGTAAGGACTGATTTTTAATTCTAGAGCTTAATCCCTGCCATTAAAATACATACATGAAAGTCCAGGAAGCTGGTGCTTCCACATGGAGTGAACCCGAAGGGTGAAAATCCTATTCAGACAGAGCCAAGATGCAGCTACCTGTCTGTTCCAGGTCTTTGTAGGCCTCGTAGCAAAAGGAGCCATCTCCACATTCACGATAAGCTATTTACAAATCAGACAGTGGCACATCTTCCCCCTCTCAAACGCCCCGGCCCCTACTCCACCCCGCCACCTCACCACGTGGCTGCATGGGTGTGCAACCTACGGTCTACATCTCCAACACTGAGGAAAGAGAGGGATGCAAATTAACTCAGGGCACCGTCAAGACCCTTCACTGGCTTAAGCCCAAGACCAGGACCACTGAAACAACAAACAGATGGCAGGCAGGATCCATGTGGATGAGCCAGGAGTCAAGGTCTAGCAGGAGGGAGCGGGCACTCAGCCAGCAAGTGCTGTTAGATAACACAGCTGTGATTTCAACACCGTGTGGAGCGGTTCACGTTGAAAACTCAGGAAAATCCCCATGCATGGCTAGAATTCTGTAATGGTGCAAGGGTGCGCCTTTTCCTATACCCTTGCAAACTATGTTGTAGAAAATTAAAGTGAGAGGTGAAATTCCCTACTATGACAAAAGTATGACTTTTTCTGGAATCTTAGATGCCAAATCCTCACTACAGCTAATGGTTATTTAAAAAAAAAAAAATTTAAGGTCACCTGGAGTCGATTTCAACTCATGGTGACCCCAATGTGTGTCCAGACAGAACCATATTCTATTGGGTTTTCAATGGCAGATTTTTCAGAACTAGATAACCAGACCTTCCTCCAAGGGACCTCTAATCTTTCAGTTAGCAAGCAAGCACATTAAATCTTTGAGTCATCTCAGGACCCTACCTAAAGGTTCAAAGAAGTTTGAACAAATGTGAAGTTGAAGTTGTCCTAAGCCCTAGGGTCCTAAGCGGTCATAAAATGGTCCTGCAATGCTACTAGTCAATTCTTGGTCAATTGGAGGAACTGGTTTACCACTTCCAGAAGGGTATCAGAGAATATGAGGGGTTCCAAAGAGCTTTGGGCTGGGGGACAAGGCTCCAGTCCTCAGCTGTGTCCTGCCACTCACCTCATCACCTTTTAAGCTCTCTGAAGTCAGAATTGTGGATCCACCTCCCAAGATCATTAAATATCACACGAAATAATTATTTGAAGTGACAAGGATGTCCTTTGTTGAGTACAGCATTTTTGTACAGATAAATGTTACACTCCTGTCATCCTTAAGGTTCCCTGGAAAAGAAAGGAAGAAAGTAATTCATTCACCTGCAACAATCTTTGCACTGAAGGGACTGAAGCTGGGGGGAATCTTATGGGCTGGAACTTCTACAAGACCTGAAACATGGAGAAGCTTGGGGAGGGGTGCTCCCTTGTAATTTTCTAAAATATCAATTAAATAAGCCGTGTAAATTCCCATGTGTCAATATACCACTACACAGAACTAGCATTGCCAACAGCACCAGGCTAGCATAAAGCCACCACTTTCTCCTTCATAATGGGTACAGCTGTTCTGGACACACTATGATGGATAGGAATCTTTGGTCCTGTTTCTCTCTCCACAACAGGATAGAATCCCTGTCCCACTCATCACACCCACTGCCATCAAGTCTATCCCAACTCTTGATGGTCCTGTGTAGGGTGGCTAGTGCTACAAATCTTCAGTCTCATCTTTCTCCCTCGGAGTTGCTGGTGGGTTGGAACCACCAACCTTGTCAAGTAGCATATTAATGGTTAACCAACAGTACCACCAGAGCTCCTGCCCAGTACCCCAAAACAAGAAGGAAATGTGGGACACATGAGAAATGTTTGAAGGGTACAAAGTGAGTTTCTAGTAACCTGATTCTTAAAAATTAATTCCAAAGAAATAATACTTGTTATAGGGCCCATATAACCAGAACAGACCTAATGGCAATTTTAACTTATGAGCTAAACATTCTGAGCTCGAATTTAGGAATAATTTGCTTTAGGAATAATTTGCAACATTTTTGTTTTAAGAACCTGTATTCTTAGTTCCAATAAACCTACATTTGAACTTCAGGCACACAGCCTACTTGGTAATTAAATCACCAGCAATTTTTTTAGGATTTAAGTGGGCTTCCAAAACTTCATGGAAGTATATTTAACAGATAATGGGATTTTTTTCCACATGCTTTTTGAAGCCTCCTTGTATTTAATAAGTCAAACAAAAATACCAAGGCAGCGAATGGTCCATTTACACAATCAGAAATTGAATATGTATAAAATCTAAGTCATTAAACTCATTTGTCAGTGGTACTATGATTGGTGACTTCTTTTGTAGGGTAGAATTTAATCTGTAATTAATGTGCTGTTGGATGAATTATCTAAGAGTTTTACGCTGAAATATCTACTTCATTTAAAGGTCATTGTATTGTGAGCTCTTACAGCGCTTATCACAATCCATACATCAATTGTACCAAGCATATTTGTACATATGTTGCCATCATTATTTTCTACACATTTACTTTTTATTTGAGCCGTTGGTATATATTTTTTAATTCTAAGCATCTGTGGTACAATGGTTATTGGGCTGCGATACGCATGGTCAGCAGTTCAAAATCACCAGCAGCTCCTTAGGAGAAAGGCTTGGCTTTCTACTCCAATAAAGTCTCAGAAATCAACAGGGGGGTCACCACGTTTTGAATCAATGGTAGCGAGTTCGGAGGTTTTTGTTGGGATTATCTATATTCAAAATAGCATTTATATATAAATATTAAGCTAATTTAACTTACTTAATCATCATAATTAGCCACCTTGTAAGAATTTGCATAAGGTGGAATGAGGATTCCAGTGATTCTGACATCAGACTGTATTTTACGAAATTTTGCATCCAAAATCTCTAGGTGTTTTCATTGTCTTCTGAAATAAGCAATCTTTGAAAGGATCCAATTTAGACTTCATCAACTTCCCCATAAATCATCAGCTAGCATATTTTGATTTAACTGGCTAATTACTTGAGTTAGGACTATATAACTTGAGCAAAGGAGTACTTAACGTCCTGGCTGCCTATCTAGAAGACTGTCATCAATTCTCCAGTTAGGAAAATGGAAAGCAAGTCGAATATTCGTTGAAACAGAAGAGTGGGGCACAGCTGGGAAGAGCTGAAGATACTTTCAGGGACCTGAGTTACAGGCCCAGCAAGGCCCACTGAATGGAATCGTCCAATGACTAGAGACAGCCAGGGAGGCGACGGGCCACTGCCAACTCTGGACTCAGGGCCATGCCCCTGAGCACCCGCCAGCCCAGGGCAATTTTATGAAGAGACTGCACCAGACTACAGCCCCATACAACGAAAGTGACAGAATATCACTTTCAGCAAATGAAAACTGAGCACACTCAATATTATTGGGGCACCGTCCAATAGTAGCAGCCACTTTGCAGACAATTTCAAAATATAAAAAACGGTATGTATGTATGTATTAATCTGAACTAACAGTTAAGAGCAAATTATGGCCATCTTTTACAAACTCGTGTCATGGACTTTTTTTTTTTAACCCAGATTCAAGAGCTTCCTCAAATGTTTTTTAATGTGGTATGTACCATAATGCCTGCATACCATCAACAATGCTCGAGAATCTCACAGGCTTGATACCAGGCTGAGTGAGTGCAGGGTACTAGGCAATGGCCTGGACGTGTCCCAAGATATTCTTCAGGAGCCATACCCTTGTCATAGTTTTCAAGGTAATTTCAAGACCTGAACTACTTGCTCATATTTTTAGAGACTGTTGAAGCTAGCAAGAAATAACACCATTATTTATAGTGAATTTATTTAGAAATAATTTTTACAAAAAGCAAAAGTAACTTTATTTTTAAGGAAACCAAAGGGGAAAACAAGGAAAACCATAATTAAATACAGTGTCACCAGATAAGAAAAGGCAAGCCAAAGAACTGTAACAAAGTAGTCTTAAAAAAAATAAACACACACACTAAAAAACAGCACACCTGACAGGAACTTGATATTCTTCTACACAGGAGCCTGCAGGGAAACTAACTGGAAATAAACATACCTCCTGGCCTCCCCAACACACAAATATGTACAGTGTAGAAACACAAAGATTTATAAAACACACTGGAAGAGAAAAATAAGCACACTCACTCATATACATAATTATACATGTTTCCTTGACAGAACACAACATGCTATATTCCTTTATTTACTCAGCTCAAAGAAATTCTTGGCCTAAAATTCTCATTATAAAGCAAAAGTTCACATTTTGCTAGACGCTGTTCATTAGAAGTATTCGATTGAGAATTTTTTAAGAGTAATGTCTAGAAGCAGAAGTTGTTGCATGTATTTGCTTTGTTACAAAGTTTTCCCCAAAGTCCTTTCCAATGCCCGGCCAGGGCCGAGAGGACGAACACTCATCTAGAGGTCTAAAGGGCTGCGGCTTTCTTGCCTATCAGCATGCGACTAATGAAATGCCTCGGCAGGAGTCCCAACACCCAGGGAGACGGAGTCTCTTCTACTGGACCCTACAGTTCTCGTTGTTCTTGAGATCAGGTCCAGCATCTGAGCTGGGGGCGAACTGGACTCGCTTGGCCCTCAGCCCCTCTCTGGGGCTGTCAGCCACGCGTTTCTCAGAGCAGTTTCTGGAGGAGAGGAATTTTGTGACGGGTTCTTGGATGGCAGCGTCTGAGTCCTGTGGGCTCTGCTGAGCAGTCTTGCCCTGCAACACAAACATCTTTGTTAGAGATTGACAATACGCCCACATTACTACATGAAAAAAAAAAGTAACATCACTTAAATTTACCTTAAATGCTTCTATTCACTAGTTCTTCCCCAAGAACTGGCCCCTCAGCTAAGAGAAAAGCTAGGAGGATGCCAGATATGATCTTAGGCAAGGCATTTCACAGCCTTCCTTCACCATGTCTGATACCCAGACTCTCCTCCCACGGCAGGGGTAACATAGCCAATTCTATCCCTTGTACAAAGTTGTGGTGGCACATTGTTAAATACTAGGCTGTTAACTGAGAGATCAGCATTTCAAGCCCACCAGTCAATCCCTAAGAGAAAGATGTGGCTTTCTGTTCCACACTCCAGAAACCCTATGGAGCAGCTCCATACCAGTCTACAGGGGGCGCTATGCGTCAGGACTGATTCAAGGGCTGTGGGATTGCATTTTCTTATCCTTTATTGTTGCTGCTGCTGAGAGTCGCCATCACAATTCTGACTCAGGGTGACCCCAAATGTGAACAGTAGAATTGTTTTCAAGGCTGTGCCCTTTCAAAGCAGATTGCCAGGCCCATCTTCCACGGTACCTCTGGGTACACTCAAACTGCCAACCTTTCAGTTAGGTGTCGAGTGCTTAACTAATTGTGTCAACCAGGGTCTGGTGTATCTCTAATATGGGGTATATATACCTGATGTGTTCTAAAGTTTTCTGTCAATGGACACCCAAACCTGCTCCCATCTGTCCTGAGTCCCTGCATTCATTCAAAATAGGTTCTAAGAGTCATTCTGCCTTCATAGGCTAGAAGCTATAGCCACAACGTGTTAAACACCTAGACCCCTGCTCCTCAAATACTGGTACTTACATGTTGTGTTTCCCCCATATGATTTAGATTGTGGCAAAAAGGCAGAAAGAACAAGTTCTCTCCTGAGCATCCCACTCTTGAGAGGTGGCTTCCTAGAACATATGAGAATGGAAGGACAGGAGAGGGCAGGACGGCTGGTAGAGTGAACGCTTCCTGAAGTTTACAATGCAGTGAAAAATAGCACACATAGGGTCAGAAAAAAGGAGGGGAGAAGACAACTGGGGCAGAAAAAAGTCCACTTAGCCAGATGAGAGGCAGGGGTGGGAGATTCAAGCAAAGAGAGTCTTTTAGAGGAAAAAGAAGACTCTTAATAAGGGCCAGTACGTGTTCAGCATGGTGCCAAGAAGCAACTGTGTGACAGAAAACTCTCTCCCCGAGCAACTGGCTTCCAGTGACCTCCTTCTGAAGCAAAAGGAAAACGAATGGAAATATTTTTCCCCCCCATTTATATTCTTTCCATAGGAAGTATGTGGTTTTAAGAGGCAGTTAAATACTTTTCGGTACAGAAAACATAGTAAATCTGGCCAACAGATCAAATCGTGGAAAGCTTGCCTCTCCATCAGATTACATGCAGGACACTTAAAAGGAGCAATCCTTGAAGGAGGGGGAGGACTTAACGGAAAATTACCGTCCACGTAAAGTTCAAAGAAAAAAAGTAAAGCATTTTACTGGTACTGGTTTTACAGGCCTTTCCTTTGACCCTATCTGATTCAGGAGAATCAAGTCAAATCTTCTACCATAAGAAGCAAGATATCACACCAGGGAAAAAGGAAGTTACACCAGTAAGGCTCTTTCTTAATTCCAATGAAATGGCCCAAACCCATTCCTTCCTTTAGCTTCTTCCTGAGATTCAACTTCTCCAACACCAAACTGGGAAAAGTATACTGAGCAGAGCTGAAACTGTAGCTCTGATTCTCATGTTAGTCAGTCCACGAATTATTGCTTGCTGCCATTAAGGTGGCCCCAAGCACAATGGAATGAAACAATATCTATACACATGATGGTCTCCAAATGAAGCACCATATTCCATTAGGATTTTCATGGGCTGATTTTAGGAAGTACAACTGCCAGGCCTTTCTTTCTGGTCCTAGTTTGGAAGCTCCGCCTGTTCAACATCATAGCAACACATGCATCCACGGACAGGTGCACTAGTCAGGGATCAATCTGGATCTCTCCTATGAAAGGTTTGAATTCTTCCACTGAACCACCATTGATGCCCCTCCCCCAATACCTCCAAGGTAAAAGTCACTAAGTATTTAAACATTGAAGGCAGTGAGTACACCCACCCTCTAATCATCTTACCGATGGCTACGGTCACAATGGAGAGGGGACAAGGATGAAGACGGTGCAGTGAGACTGAAACTCACTCGTGGAAAGAAACATAAGTCCCCCATTAAAATGCTAAGGGAAGCTGTGATGATGACACACACCGCTGTTGTGCACAAAGGGTTCCACAGCACACAGGCTGTTCCTCTACCCAGGCTCAGGGAGGTCCTGTCCACACTCACCTGGACTCCCTAGTTCCCCAGGCTCTCTGGGGCTTACTCAACCCAGCTAGAGAACAATCCTCAACTAATCCAAATTTACACATACAGACACACACA